ACAGCCCATCAATTCTCGTGATGCAGACCATTCCGGGCGCCGTTAACATAATCAACCGCGCCCTCCCTGCCACTCACCTCCCCTGCCCCTCCCCTGGGAGAGGGCCGCCCCATGCAGGTCCTGCCGGAGTCCTGCCCGGCTTGACGTGCCGTCATCGGGGTTCCCAACTGGCGCGAGTTGAACCTCCCACCGGACTCCGGACACTGCCAAACCGTGCGGGCCTCCGCGGCACCCCAGCCTCCAGGAGCGCACAGCTTCGTTCCAGCGGGCCAAGACAGGTGAGAAACTCGGCTCGGGATTTTCAAGTATCCGCAGCGCCAGCACCGTGTTCGCGAAAGGGTTGCCCCCTCGGCTCTCTCTGCACTACTCTGAAAATGACGTCGTTAGGCCGGACCTTAAAATCCCCCCTCCCCTCCGCCAATCCCGTCCGGCCCGTCCGGCTCATTCGGAATAAACAAGCTGCCATCAGGAACACGTCGGGGAGGGCCACGCCGCCACGCCGCCGCGGCCGGGATGGGCACTATGGTCAGGTTGTGATGGGGCGTTCGGCTCGGCGAGGGGCGGTGAGGGGCGGGGCGGCGTCCTCTCCCCATCTCCCTTCACGGCAAAACAGGTAATCAACGCGCTTGGCTCCGCTTGGCTCCGCTTGGCTCCGCGCTTGGCTCCGCTTCGTTACCCGCTGTTTGTATTGTCGTCCCGTTTATCGCCCGGCCGAGTGCCGAGGCCGCCGAGGCCGCCTAGGCCTTGCCGGCCTTGCCGGCCTTGCCCGTCAGTCGCCGCCCGACTTGCGGCCCGGCCAGGGGGGCAGAGTTGACTGGCTGACTATGGCACGGCCTGGAGACGCGCTTCACCACCGCAACAAAAATCAAAAACAAAAGAAGAGGGAAAAGAGTTTTCAAAACTAACCTTGTTTTTCTAACCAATGACTGACTGGTGGAAAGTTTCATGTGCACCCCCTTTTTCTCTCTTTCACCCCCCCCCCTTTTTCTGTTTTCAAACACACACTCACACGCGAGGAAAAAATTCGTTAAAAAAAAATAAAAACTTTCACACAGAAAAATATCGAGCGCCCAGCCCAGCAGCGGGGGCCTCGGCGGACGCCGTCTTTTTATTTTTCAGATCAGCTTTCGCGGGAAGCTCATCATTCCGCGCAAGCAGAGGTAAATAATAATCAAGTTGATCGATCGAGCTTCGCGCGAAAGTCGAACGAGAGGCGAGCGAGAGGCGAGCGAGAGGCGAGCGAGAGGCGAGCGAGAGGCGAGCGAGAGGCGAGCGAGAGGCGAGCGAGAGGCGAGCGAGAGGCGAGCGAGAGGCGAGCGAGAGGCGAGCGAGAGGCGAGCGAGAGGCGAGCGAGAGCGAGCGAGAGGCGAGCGAGAGGCGAGCGAGAGGCGAGCGAGAGGCGAGCGAGAGGCGAGCGAGAGGCGAGCGAGAGGCGAGCGAGAGGCGAGCGAACGAGCGAGAGGCGCGAGCGAGAGGCGAGCGAGAGGCGAGCGAGAGGCGAGCGAGAGGCGAGCGAGAGGCGAGCGAGAGGCGAGCGAGGGCGAGCGAGAGGCGAGCGAGAGGCGAGCGAGAGGCGAGCGAGAGGCGAGCGAGAGGCGAGCGAGAGGCGAGCGGAGGCGAGCGAGAGGCGAGCAAGAGGCGAGCAGAGGCGAGCGAGAGGCGAGCGATGAGCAGGCGAGCGAGAGGCGAGCGAGAGGCGAGCGAGAGGCGAGCGGAGGCGAGCGAGAGGCGAGCGAGAGGCGAGCGAGAGGCGAGCGAGAGGCGAGCGAGAGGCGAGCGAGAGGCGAGCGAGAGGCGAGCGAGAGGCGAGCGAGAGGCGAGCGAGAGGCGAGCGAGAGGCGAGCGAGAGGCGAGCGGGAGGCGAGCGAGAGGCGAGCGAGAGGCGAGCGAGAGGCGAGCGAGAGGCGAGCGAGAGGCGATAGAGAGGCGACAGCGAGAGCGCTCTTCCGCTTTGACAGCGCGGCTTTCTTGCCGTCACGCCGAGTTTGTTTTGCCCGCGCCACTCGATGTCCCGCCCGAGTGAAGAAGTGCCCGCGGCGGGGCGGGGCGGCGTTAGCGTGGCTAGGCAGGGCTCCGCACGGACGGATGATGTTTTTCCTTTCGCTATTGAGAGCGAAATCCCTGGTTCCTGCCCCTCGCCTCCCCCGACTGCTTTTCACGAAATGAAAGGTAGGCAGGGAGCGAAGGGGACAATGCCCAGGCCGTCCCCCTCCGCCTCCCTCACCCATTCCGGCCGGCCCCTCTGCGACATCTGTTGTTAAGCCAATGCCGATGGCTCGGTGGGGCGGGGCGGGGCGGGCGGGGCCGCGAGAGCGAGGCCAGGTCCTGGGCCCCAGGAAGGCCAGCGAGGGGCTTTAGCCCTTTTCAGGTGCGCTGCCGGGCGGCCGCCGCGAGAGCCTCGGCTGGCCTCGGGCCGGGCAGCCACGCCGAGCCACGCCGAGCCACGCAGCGGGGCACGGCAGCGACCCTCGCTGCTCTTGTTCTCTGAAGGGCAACCGGGCTGTAGACTGATTCCGAGAGGGAGGACTCTCTCTCTCGCACTCATGGGGCGCTCCATGTCGGTGCGAGAGAGACAGACCGGCGGCCGCACTGTGCGGAATCAGTCTGCCGGGCCGGGTCCACTCTCCCGGCGGCGAAGGGCGAAGGGCGTCGCTGCCGCCAGGGCCTGCCAGCACGCCTCGCCCTGTCTCTCTCCCACTCACGGCGTGTGCCGCAGGGGAGCGAGAGAGACAGAGTGCTGGAACGGATGCCGCCAGGTCAGTGCTCCTCGGGGACAATAAACGGAAAGGAATAAAAGAATAAAAATCAAACGGCGGTGATACGTTTTTATATCGTAGGGCCAATAGGACGTCCGGCGCCCTCTCGTCCCCGCTGCATTTTGCGTCTCGGACCTTTATGAAAAGGAAAATTGCGGTCCAGGGTGATGGCCGCCCTCCTTCCCGCGGTCGCCCTTTCTCACACCGACGCGTACACACACAGGCACGGACTCACACACGACGCGCGCGCGGCAGTCACATGCGACCTATTTCCCCCGGGACAAACGGCCAGCTTGAGGTGGACCTTGTAGACTTGTAGGACGCTGCGCGACGCTGCGCGGGGTGTGGGCCCAGCTCGGCGCCGCTCCACAGGTGCATCGTGCGGCTCTGGGGGGCAGCCCGGCTTACACTGGGCCCCGCCCCGCCCCGCCCCGCCCAGCACGGCACCGGAACGGCAGGGTGCGTGTATCGCCCCGCGATAAACCCATTTTCTTGTTTGCCTTTTCATCCAATTTTCGTCCAATTCATTACCGACGGAACGAAAAACGAAGAACGGAGGAAAAAAAACGGCACAGCAGGTGAGCATGGCAACGAGTATACGAGGGGCGCACGCGATATGCAAAAAAGGGGGGGAACAACTGCACCCTTACGCTCGCCATTCCGGGCGTGCTTGCTCGGACTGCTCGCTACATCCGAGTACTGCACCGCGGTGTACTACATCGGCGACGAGCTGTGTGCCGAGCTGATGATGACACAGGATCATGAGCTCTGATGTGCTGCCCTCCAAACAAGGGGTGGGGGCCGCAAGGGAGCCGACCCACATGCGTCTTCCCCCGCCCTCCCCGCGGCCCTGTGGACCTCCCCGTACGGCGCCGTACGGCCTCCCTCAGGTGTCGTCCCGCGGACGTCCTCCGCAAGCCCGGCCAGCACCGCCAGCCCCGCCAGCCCGGCGCGAGGCGGTGGCGTCGTGTTCCTCGCCGAGGTCGTTGTTGTCGCCCTCCCCTCCCCTCCCCTACCCCTGCTCCTCGCGGCCCCGGGGCCCACACTAGATCGCCGTGGGTGGACTGTGTGGGCCCGGAGATATGGAGCAGTGACGCGCCCTGCCTGTCAGCAAGGTAACCCCCATCACGGCGGCGACAGCCCCACATGCCCTCCACCGCCTGCCGTGCTGCCTCCCCGACGGGCCGAAGACCGACAGGCCGACCGGGGAACGCCGAGCGCCGATTATTGAATACGACCCACGCCAACTCTCATGACGTGGCGCCTGAGTTTTAATCAATTTTCACACTTCGCCGTGATGCAGTAGCCCGATTCCGAGAGTCGTCTTCGTCGCTTTGTCTCTTTCGCACTCCTGGCCCGCCCTGCGCAGGTGCGAGAGAGACAGCGCGACGAAAACGACTCTGGGAAACAGTCTGCAGTTGCACGAATGGGCGGGCAGGCACCACCATAGGACTATGGGGCCCCACCAGCATGCTCCGATTGCCAATACCTTCCTCCTTTGTGCTCCCACTTTGTCACTGGTGTTCCAAATAGTGACGTCACATTCCTCAGACAACATACATATATTAGAAGAAATATTTCCCCAACGCCAGTGGATGTTATCTGAGCCACCTGGAGATCCTCGGCAGTTTAGACTGTTACGCTCCCAAAGTAAGAGATCCTTCTTCGCATCCCAGAACTGCTCTTAATTCAGTTTCTTTAAAGTCAGACACACTTACATCACTGCGGTACTGCTGCTCTGATGAAATTCGCAGGCAAGAATGCTTCCGGTTGAGCTTCCCAATTAATGCAGTATTCAAACATGTTGCTTGGTGCACTGTACTATTCAGTCCTAAGTCCAGGCGACTGATGATGAACTTACAAGATTTTCACAGTTTTTCAATTCATACCCAGCTTTACAGTAGTTTGGATGTTGGGAAAAAATCTTCGCCAACTCAAGACCAAGTAGGCAAAGGTCGTCATCGTACAATAGGAGAAGGAACTTAATTTATCGATGCCAGCCCACAGATTAGTGATTAGAAGGCGGCCATTTTGATTTTTTGTTTGTTGACGGTGAACGAGGAGTGACTGCGAATACTGAATCTGTTGTGCGCATAGCCAGAACTCGAATCTGAATCTGTTGTGCGCATAGCCAGAACTCGAATCTGAATCTGAATCGTCATGTTGTGAACCCCTTCTTCTGTTTAAATTTGATATTCGCAGATCAACCGTCAACCGCCAACCCGCCAAACCAACAAACAAAAAGTAAAAAATGGCCGCGTTTGAATTATTAGTTTGTGAACTTGTACCGATAAAATTAAGTTTCTTCTATTATTGTGCGATGCTGATTGTTGCCGACTCGGTTTTTGAGTTCGCGAGGATTATTTGTCGACATTCAAGCTTCTGTAAAACGGTGTGTGTCATGAAAAACTGTGAAAATCTTGAAAGTTTATCAGCATTCTTCTGGGCTCTATCCCCAATAGTGCAGTGCTCCAGGTAACCTGTTTGAATGATGTGTTACTGGGCAACTCAACTGGAAACGCCCTGGCCTGTGACTTTCATCAGAGCAGCAGGGAGTAGCAGTGCCACAGTGATTATTGTAAGTACACCTGACTCCAAAGAAACTGAATGTGAGCAGCTCTGGAATGCGAATGAGGTGGGGACCTCTTCCTTTCGGAGAGTAACACTTTTAACTGCGGAGGATCTGCAGTGAGTGTGAGAACATTCACTGGTGCTGGAAAAAGGTTTTTATCATTTTGTGTTTAACCTAATAGGCTATTAATTATGTCTCGAATTCGCTGATTGCCTTGACTGCATCGAAAGTTTTGTTCATATTTGTTGAAGCTTGAAACTTGTCGAGAAATGTGAATCCACCCACATCTTGGAGATTCTTTTCATTCTCGACCTATCTTGTCGAGACATCTTGCCTCACTCACAGAGTGGTATAAATTCTCAGCTTTCAACTTCCATTGTGCCCTTGGTCCCCTCTGCACTGCAGTGATTGCTGTTCGTCCGAAAACTCCTAGCTGTTGTCATCGCGTGGCGGCGCTGCGTCGCGAGCGTCGACCCGAGCCACGCGGCTCTAGGCAGCGCCAGGGCAAAGCCAGCAAGTAGATTGATTCCGAGAGTCGTCTTCGCCTCTCTGTCTTTCTCGCACTCATGGGGCGTCCCGTGCAGGTGCCAGAGAGACAGAGCGACGAAAACGACCTTCGGAACCAGTCTGCAGAGCCAGCCCGGCGTCATTGAAACACCTCCCCTTTCCCCTCCGTGCATTCTATGGTGTTTTCCTAGAGCAGGCACCGGCCGGCCGGCGGCTAGACTGGCGGCCGGCTCCGAGGCGGTCTTGTCTTCTTTGCCGCCTTGATGACGTTCTTCTTGGTTCTTCTATGGCGAGGAGCAGGTCGCCGTGGTGGCGGCCTCGTTGGGCTCGCTGGCCTGCCGGCCTGCCGCACCACGGGGAAGTCTAATGAAGCGAGGTCCACGTCGAGGCGGCCGGGGCGGGGCGGGGCGGGGCGGGGCGGAGCGGCCGCGGCGGGCCCAAAGGGCTGGCGGACAAAAGAAGCAGGCCGGCCTGGCCTGGCCGCCAGCCCCGTCAGCCCCGCCAGGCCGGAGTAAAGTAGACTACAGCCTTTCAAAGTGAATTAATTTGAAAATCGACCCGCGCAAGCCGCGCTGGCAAGAGTGCCCTTGCCTTCCCTTCGCCCCGCCTCCCCTCTTCGGCCGGGTTGTCACTTTTTTCCGCGAACTTGGCGTCGGAAGGCTGCGGCCGCGTCGGCCGCCTCACCGCTGCGATCCGAGCCACGCGACACGACGTCGCCGCCGCTCTGTCTCCCTCGCACGCACAGGGGGTGCGAGAGAGACAGCGAATCCGCCGGCACGAAAGAAACGCCGCGGAGTGCGCTGCCAGTGTTTCACGGCCGGCAGGGCGGCAGGGCGGCAGGGCGCGCGCGGCTTGACAACTTCATCACGACGAGGCCTTCGGGGCGGGGCGGGGCGAGGTGGGGGGCACCGCGTCGCACGCTGCTTTCCCCTGCAAGGTGGAGAGCAGCGAGATATTTGTGACGGCATTAATCAAAAAAGTTTCCGCGCTAGCGACGCGGAAAGTATTTAAGTGCAGCCCCGTGTCCGGGGTGAGGCGCGACGCCGTGCCGCGCCGTGCCACGCCGGGCTGCAGGTCTGGGCTCGCGCTGTGTTCAGCGCGCCGGCCAACTCCATTCCGATGACCCCCGCGGAGTCGCACTTACTTTTTGAATGGAAATTTCGGGCCACACATGAGCGGAGTCCGCGGTGTTCGCGGTCGGGGGCGTTTGGCCGCTGCGTCCGTCCTGTGGTCCTGCAGTGCTTCTTGCGGGGCCTTTTTGGAGAGCTCAATCTCTGCCACGGCCGGCCGGCCGACGGGCCGACGCATGGCTCCGCATCAGTGCGCCGCTAAACGGTATGCCTATCCCTCAGGGGCAGGCCGCCCCCGCACCGCCGCACCATTAAGACTGAAATATTACTGGCTATAATAATAACACCAAGGGCGCTGCCTCGGCGGCCCAGATGGAGGGATTGTTTTTATTTATTTACATTTTTATTGCTAAAGACGCGGCTCGCGGTGCGGTAAGTTGAGTTTCCTCCCTACCGTTGAAATATCTGTGCGCTCCGCCGCGCTGATAAGAGAAATACCGGTCGCGGGAGAAATAGAGGGGGTGGGGTGGGACGTCTCGAATCGCCGCGCTTCCTCGACGACGTCGGCGTCCTCGGCGTCCTCGCTCACGAGGGCAGCAAGGACCAGGAAGGGAAGCGACCTGCTTGCCGCTGTTGACTCGCCGGCCAATGGTTATTGCTCGAGGTGCTGCAGGTTACGTTCTTGGACTCCACTCTCCGCTCCACTCCGTTCAGCTCCGCTCCCCCAGCGACCGGGACCCGGGACCGCCCCGCGGCGCCCAGTCGGCGTCGTGCTCGCACTGTGCTCGCACTTGCCACATCTTACTGGGGGCGTGGCGGCGTGGCTGAGGCACGGGGTTTGAAGGGAATTCCTTGGCCGTCTCTCTCGCTCTCGTGGCGCGTCTCATGGCGGCGCGAGAGAGACAACGCGACGAAACGCTGTTGGGAATCCTTGCCGTGCCTCAGTCCTACCTCTCTGAGTCCTACGGCGTCGGCTGGCTGATTCCGAACAGTGCTTTGGCCACTCTGTCTCTCTCGTCGTCGGGGAGGCACAAGGCCGCACAAGGCACCCTCCAGGCTGCTCGGTGCGACAGAAATAACCCAGAAATACGGGCGCCGCCGCGCGCCACGCCTCGCGCATTCCTGCGCGCAATATTTCAAGCGTCCTCATGTTTCAGGCCGCGCCGTGCCGCGCCGCGCCGCGCTGGGTGCTCCGCGCTGACAACAACAGCCCAGGACCTGGCCGCCCTGCCGCCCTGCCGCCGCCCTGCCCGGCGAGCGCTCGAGCGTGGCGGGGTGCGGCGGGGAGCGAGCGAGCGGTCGCGCAAAATCATCTCTAATTTGTCAAAGTCCCGCGCGCGGTGCCGAGTGCCGCGAGAAGAGCCCCACCCTGCCCCGCCCTGCTCCGCGCGATGGGCCGTGGCTGGCTGTCTGGCCGGGCGGTCCGGTTTGGTGTATGCCATCTGCAGCGCCGAGCGCTACGCCTGGCTACGCCACGCTTTGGTGGCCGCGCGGTGCGGTGCGGTGCGGTGCGCGCACTCGACTCGAGGCAGTCTGCAGACTGATTCCGCACAGTGCGGGGCCAGCATCCTCTGTCTCTCTCGGCCGGTACTGTCGGTCGGCGGGGCCCCTCCGCACTGTGCGGAATCAGTCTGCTGGCCTGGCCGCGCCTGGCGGGCACGCGGTGGAGTGGCGGCGGGGGCGGCGTGGGGTGGGCTTGAGAGGGGGGGAGAGGGGGTCTCGGCTCACCGGCACGTTACTCACTGTCCGCATTCATCCCCGGCTCGTCATTACCAGCAGCCAAAATGCGCCCTTCAACAAAGCGCGCGCCGAAAAGCAGCCGAAAGCAGCCGAAAGCCGCGGAAGAATAATTCGGGGCACTGTAGGGGGCCTTGGCTCTCCCTTCCGCCTTCCCGGCCGGTCGCGGCCCCACTGAGCTCCTCGCTGCTAACCGCGCGGCAGCAGCAGTCAGGCCAGGTGCGCGGCAAAGAAACAAAAAGTGCGGGGCGGGCGAGCGGCTAAATTGTCAAAATTCGTGCTGCACAACAGAAAGTTTAGGCCGTCTGCTTGTTGGGCGGAAACTTGCGCGCGACGACCATAGCAACTCGGGTTGGCCGGCCCTCCGGTCCGGACTGGAGAGGGTCCTGGACGAGTCCTGGAGGACTGGGAGGCGTATGCTGTCCTGCGTAGGATCAGGAGTGGCGTCGGGTGGCGGACCAGAGCCAGCCTAGGCTTATTCCCGTTTTTTGCTTCTCCTCCTCTAGAGGCCGGCGGCGCCGCCCCGGGCCTGGGGGTCGGCCTGCGGAGCCTGCGGAGGTCAATTACTAGCCTTGTCATTCCACAACGGGAGGCGCATTCATTCCGCTTAAACATTTGTGGAGGGGATTAGGCCCTTTTCGCCGTCCAAAGTGGCCGCGGAATCTAGACGGGATATCTGGAACGGCCCTCCCCTCCCCGCCCCGCCCCCGTACTCCCCGGGGCGAGCTTAGCCTAGATATGACAACTCGGCCGGACAGTTTTAGATTGGCCCGAATGGAAAGTCCACAGAGACGACGACGATGGCGACGGCGGAAAGAGGGGAAGATTATTTTCCGAGAGGGCGGCGGCGACGGCGGTCGGTTGCTTTCGGCGGACGCGCAAATAAATATTTTGATGAGCGCCCCAAGGCGCCGGCAGCCGGCAGGTAGACTGGCAGGTAGACCGGCAGGTGGCGGCGGTCTGTTTACCTTTTGGATGAGCGAATAAATAAAGACCAATAGCGTTCCGAGAATTCCGGGGCTCGGCGCGCGATGGAAAACAAATCCCTGGCACCGCCTCACCGCGCGCACAGTGGGCCAGAAGACGGTGGCGCAGGCGGCCAAAACTCGAGGTACATTTTGTTGAGCGCCAGAGTCACTAAACAGGACTTGAACCGAACGTGTGACCCCAACAATAGATTGCTCTCCGAACGAGGAATCCATAAGTGGAGTCACACGTTCGGTTCAAGTCCTATTTAGCGACTCTGCAGCTCAAAAAGCGTCCGGGACTTTGACCGCCTCCACCGGTCTTCTGGCCCACTGTGCGGCCGCAGTGCCTTGGAGGACGGCGGCGGTAACCTACGGCCCGCGCGGTCTTCGCGAACAGGAAAGTGTTCCTAAACCGGGCCGAAAGGGCCGGACCAAAATATTCCAGCGTGTTGCCATGACGACGCGGTGCGCGTCCTTGACGAGGTGCTGCGGGGGCTGCGCGGGCTAGGGGGGGGGGGGCTAGAGGACAGAGGACAGAGGGGCTAGAGGCGCGAGGACAGGTAGTTGAACACCGCGGGAAACGCGATCCGCCTCCTCGCTTTCAATTCCCGCCCGCCGCGCCCCGCCGCGCCCGCGATACGACGAGACGACAACCTTCTGCCGTGCTGCCTGCGTGCTGCCTGCGCCGTTCGAGGGCCTCTCCGTCTAGTAATTCGAGACGTCC